AAAGCACTCCAAGCTGAACAAATGTTCAGGTTTCTTATCTCTTACTTGGTCACTTCCTTTGTTTCTGGTCTCTGCCCATGTGTGATGCTGTTAGCAGGCAATACACTTGCATTTATGTCTTGCATTTTCATAACTGGGGGAAAGCAGCCATTGTGGGTATTCCATAAGGCTGGTTGTAGTGTGATACCAGCTGCCTTTGCGTTCAGTCCATAGTCTCTTCACTGTGATGCTGGAGATTAACTTCATTTCTGCTTTCGACACTAAGCAGATGCTTCTTTCTATAGACAGACATCCTGTAAATTAAATAGGGGAGTTGGAAAAAATCCAGAACCTATTGCTGGATAATAGGACCAATCAAAATGACATCATAAAAGGTACAAATTCCTTTGAGTCAAACTTGAGTCCTGGGGAGTTTTTCCAGGACAGATGGACACACTTCCAAAGCACCAGAGTGCCACTACTCTCACTATTTTCGTCTTCTAAGAATGTTTTCAGGGCCTTAATAAAATAAGATATTGCTGGAGGCTGTCACTTTGTTTGCAGTGTGACTACATATGTACTTACTATACTTACTTACTATGTTACATCTTTAACATAGGTGGGTCTGGGAGCTTGGTTGGTCGCAATGAAGCAACCACATTGCTCCTTCCACCCCAAGTTAACAAATCCCTCAAGTAAGTAAGGTTGAGTTGCTGCAATAAGGGAAGGAAGAACTATTCTTTTTCTAAGGAAGGGCATTGCAGTCAGAAAGGAATATTAATATTGATGGGGGGGGGGAGGAACCTTACCACTGTTGCTGATTCAGATTGGTTAATAGAATTTCAGCATGAAAGAGGTAGGATTAGGGTATAACTTGCTATACATAAAGTATATGAGTCCCTGTCCTGCTTATAATTATTTTGCATCAACATTGTACTACTATTTTTTAAAGAGAGGGGCATTATCTTGTGATCTTGGTAAAATTAGGAAAGTCAGATCATCTTAAAAACCTAATCCATTTCATAAATAGTGTGCTTTTATTACAGGATTTCTACAAGCAAGAATTTATATTGTATAAAAATAAACCATTGAAACGATAACAGCCTTAACTGTACTTAAGTCTGTACCATTCTTGCTCCTAAAGAAGATCTCCAATGTCATAAGTTTAAGATGGAGGAATAGTGTATCATTTAAAGGTACCCATCAAATAAATGTTCACTTCCTGTAGTTATCTTTCTAAGATGTAGCACTTCCTTTTTTGTATCTCACTGTAATATATTTGTATGCTCTACAATCATTTTTGGTGCTACAGCTGTGATGCAGTCTTTCCTACTTACTCTATTTAGCTTATTCTGCAGTTTGGCTAAGGCCAAAAAAGATCAGTGCTTTGCATGTTAGCTTGGAAATAAAATGGCCTTAGCAAGTGTTCTTGCGTGAGCAGCCAATATACTGTATGTGTCCTGAGGGATAATAATTGCAGAGTAAAAATTCCTTGTGCCGGGTTATTTTAAAAACCAGTATCACTGAGTTTAGAATTATAAGTTTCTTAACCAGCTGCAGACAGATCAGTTCTGTCAGATGAGTGTTTTCTGGATAATTATGGTAAATGTCTATGTCCCACAAGAATCACGTGCTTTAAGAACTAAACAACATACATTCAGCTCTATTTCTTCTACTTCCATAGAAGAGGAGGTAGGTAGAAAGAATAAACCAACTCTTTGTAGGCATATGCCCTTTAAAGTGTATACGTTATTTTAATTATTTATGTAGATTACAATCCTTCATTCACTTACCTGGGAGTAAGCCTCAGTGAATAGTGTAAGACAATGTTCATACAATCCTGAATTTAGCTAATTGTCTGGTTTGCACAATACACGGATCCATAAATTGAACACTCTGTCTGGCTTCATCCAGTGCACAGAAATGATCCAACCATATTTTTAACCAAGTAGGTTGTATAAACGAAGTCTGAGGCTTGTGAGAAAGGGTATTTAGGATTGTGCTGTTCATAAATGTTGTACAAAATGTAGTGCAGTAACAGCACATGATGGATCCTTTCCTCAAGCTTGTTTTCTAAAGTTCATGGAGTTCCTGTGTAAGCAAGCTTCTTAATTTCCTTAAATGACGGAGGCCAGTTTGTGCTTATAAAGGACACAAATGTGGAAACTAGATGCAGTGAAGGAAAAACAAGATGCAATGAATGGGAAAGCGGCTTGTACAGGAGCTCCATGTGCCCAGATCTTGCGGATGGAGTTTATTTGTCAAACTGTAATACATCTGAGCCTGCAAACCATGAACCACAGTAAATCTTAAGTTCACACGTTGCATGCACACTCCCAGCAAGGAAGAGTATGAGGGTGAGGATTGGCCGCATTTATTGTGTTGTCTGAAACCAACAAAGAGTTATTACTCTTAACCATGGTTTGCTTGTTTGAAAAAAGTCAATATGAAACCATAGTTTATATTATCTGCAGATTCTAAATAGCATTAACGGAATACGCCAGATGTCACACTTGCAATAAGTGTCATTTAATTGAAGCACAATGCTCCTTTCCTCAGTCTCAACAATAACGTCTGTGTTCATACAATGCACCAAGACAAAATTGAACTCTCTTGTGTGTGGTTTAGGATTGTGTACAAACCACATAGTGTAATTGTAGCTTAATGTATGAACCCAGTCAGTTCTGGTTTAATCACTATACCATTGTTAAGCAAACCATTGATTAGTATATTGTATGAACACAACCACTATGGGCTCATGGTAGGGTAATTTCAGTTAATTATCTTACTGGAACTATGTACAATACACTAACCAACTACATCTTAGCCTAGTAGGTGGTGCAAACCCAGCATGTGTGGTTAATTCATGGTTCATTGTGCCATGTGAACAGTGGGTTGAGTCTTCTCAACCCATTGTTTACATGGCACAATGAACCATGAATTAACCAGTGGTGAAGCTAAACATGTTATGCAATACAGCTGGGAAGTAGTGTCATCCTGCAGCCCAGGTGATCCAAGGAGATGAGCTTTATGGCTAGGAGACCTGTTCTTTCCATAAAAGCTTCACCCTCACATCATAATCTATTCAGCTGAGAGCTGTGGCTGCATGACTCCTGCATGGCATGTTTCAGCTGCCCACAGAGGGGCAGAGCTATCCTTGTGAGGTACTCCAGCATTAGCACTTTGAAGGGATCCTGTTGCCCTTGGCTGCTATTGCTCACCTCATAAGAGTGCCTATGCTTTAGGTATTCAGGATGTTCTCTGTTCAGGGAAAATGCTAGATGGCTAAAACTGTCTCTTGGAAAGAGGCTCTGCTGGGGGAATACATCAGAAAATGTGAGGTAGCTGGAATAGAATTGCTTTCCAATTGCAGGGAGAGATCCTGCTGGCTGGTTAAGTTGGTCTAGTGATCATATGAGGCCTGCAAGACAGAAAGTCCTTATCCCTAAGCTAAACAGAAGTACAGCAAGCAGGTAATGTGGGCAAAGTCATTGAAAAATATCTGAGGGGTTCCATTTTCTTCTGCCAACCTGAGTGACTCTGTAAAGTTCATTCCAAAGCTTACAGGCCTTAGTCATCTGAAGCTCACATGATGTTAGCAGGTTTCCTTTACCTCTTCTTTACATGCTTTCTCTGAAGGCAGCCTCCTATGAAGATTTCATTCTTTACTCCATCAAGTACCTTCACATTAAAAGGGAAAAATTGGGATTAAAAAGACCCCCCCCCCAAAATCAGGCCAGAGCTAGAGACATACCCCACATCAAAGCCCCGTGGATCTATCAACTTGGGGTCCATGAAGCTTAGCCTAGATGTAGAGTTTGAGCAAGAATTGGAGCCAGAAGCATAGTGAACAGTGGTGGCCTGTGTCAATCAGGAAGAGCAAGACTATTTGCAATTCATACTGTAATGAAATTCAATTCCAAACCACTTAACCTGGTTACCAAATTAACCAATTTTTCTGAGTTTGTACAACAGATTAGGTCCACACAAAAACCCTAGCTAAGCATTGCATGTTGTACAACCATAGCTGCTTAATGTTTCAGTTATCTGGTTAAGTGTGTTGTGCAAACCTAGCCAATAAGCTCCATATAGGGTGTCACTTTTTTCCTCACATTGGTTGTGTTTGCATGGCACACCAATTATATTTTAATCTAGTGTGTTTGTGAACTCCACTTGTGTGGATCTTGGAGTGTCTGGCTATTGAACATTTGGAGTGTGTGGGCAGCAGATAATTATGTCTGCCTCTTAAACAAGAATGGGCAACCCTTTTCGGGTCCTATATATAATTCAGCCTATGAAGGGGAAGAACTTGACAGTAAGAGTTCTCAATCAGTGGAAAGGGTTACCACATGGAATGGTTTCTTCCTCTTCAGTGGAGATTTTCAAACAGGCTGGATAGTCACCTGTTGGGGATGGTGTAGTGAATCTTGCAGTGTGCAAGGCGTTGAACTGGATGACCTTTTAGGTCCCTTCCAACTCTATGACTCTATAAGGGTCTTAATGACAACACCTGAGAAGACGAGGCTGAAGTTTTTGGGGGTGGAAGTTTTTAGAGGGGTGGTTTTGTTTATACCCTTTTGATGATTTAACACTCTTATTTTGCTGTTTATTTCAGCAAACATCTTACTATTTTTGGAGTGCTTCACAAAAAAGAATTCTAGGGACTGCGTGTCTCTAATGGGTTGCCCACTCTGCTCTAAAATACATGAATGTACTAAGAGTTTTCCTTCATAATATGTAGCAATTTCATTGCTGCAGAAATTAAGTCACGGGTGTGATAAACCATGACATTAGTTCCCTACCTTGTTCATACCCTCCAGCCCTAGCAACTCCCAAGAATGATTATTTCATGTTGGCAATTCTTTGTTTACCATGCTTAACTCTTTTTAAAAGTCTTTCTCCTGAGGATTGGAGCTGTGTCTTAAAAATGCTGTTCTTAAATTCAGTGAAGTTCAGGAATGCTGTTGCCACCACGGATTTTTTTACTGATAGGAAAGGCGTTCCTGGGTTCTCATGTTAAGGATTCTTTTGACAGAATGCTTGTCCAGGTGTGCCTGTACTTCTATTGCAAGTGTTTATGGCGCTGCCTGAAATTTGTGGTGCGGAAACTGACCGGACGATGTGAGCTGCAAAGAATCTGCTATAATATCAAGCCTGGGGCTGAAAGAACTATGAAAATTGGTAAGTACCTTTAGGGCAACTCTTAATATTTACTTTCATTCATCATACTAAGCCGTAAAATGGTTGACTTGTGTGTGGCTTAGTGTGATGTTTGAACCCAGCTTTTGTAGTTTGTAATAGGTGACCTAAGGCTCATCAGCTGGCTCAATAAACCATGAATAAAGTGATATATGTGAACCATAGTTTATATGTTTAGTGTATAGTCACTCTGTATGTCTGTCTGTGTGTATTTCAACATCATTTTGCTTAAAAGCATGTTGTTCTGTTCTAGGCTTCTTCCTCTAGTATCCTCCAGATACACTGGTTTAAGAAAAACTTCCCCCCTTAATCACAATTAAAGGCAATAAAATCTGCAGCTGAAGAGCCTCTTAAAGTTCTCTTCATCTGTGACCACAGGGTGTTTTCAACAGAAGACAAAAGTTAGCAAGCAAGCAAGCAAAACATTTTATCTGGTTGGGTTCATCCATCTTATTACATCAGTTTCCTTATTAGGAGCAAACTGGTTGATACAGGAAAAGAACAAACTTGCCTATGACTACACATAGTTATTTCTAACTTTATTTTTTCTGGGGAATTTAGCAAGATAGATAGTAAATGGAACAAAGACCGCTAGTTCTCTTTTCTGGTGTACCCTGTGCTTCTTTAATCAATTAATCAATCTTTAATTCTCTTTATAGTACTTGATCTAATACTGCAATGGTTTCTAGCTTTTTCTGTTGTTCATCCTAAATATGGCTTTAGTTACATCTGCTAATGTTTGGCAATTTCAGGATACTCCATTGGCCATCCTGGGTCAAGACTTTAGGAACTCTAGATTAAAAAGCAAAGATTGTTCTGTTCAATAAAAACTTAATTTACATTACTGAGACAAATGGCTTATTTTTTTTAAAAAATGTATCTTTAACTTAATTTATCCCAAAAAATCTTTTGTATACATGTAAGAATTCAACACTGTTTATTTCCTAATAGAATGTGTCCCATTTTTGGTGCTGAAAGCCCAATGATAAAAAGTTATTATGTGATTCTCTTGGCCACATTGTTAAAAATGCTAAAATGTAATACAAATTTAAAATTTCAAAAATATTTTTCCTAACAGAAACATCATTGAGGAGTTCAAAAAATAAGGTAGGTAAAAGTCTTTGTATTGTGTTCTTTTGGTGCAACAATGTTAGCTCTGTGATCTACATCGCAACAGCAGTATTAGAGCTCAGTCAGGGTTGCAAACAAGACTGAAGGAAAACCCGAATGTAATTATGTTAGCCCTTTATGGATAACTGAAAAAATATAAAGGAAGGAAATGAGATATAACCTCCTAATCTTATTGGCTTCAGGATACCTACCTGGCATAGTTAGAGGGCCTGGAATTGATTGCCTGGTAATATCAATGCTCATTGATATGCCTTAACAAATAGCGTCTTTCACCCTTATCCTTTTGACAGCTGTTGAATATCCATGAGATGGAAATTTGAAGGTTGCTTTGTGCACTCAAGACTATCATTACTATTCTCTCTAATTGTCATTCAGTTAAAGAGAACACAGATGATAGTCTTTATTGGGCACCATGATGCATCATGCACGACTCATAAAAAGGGGTGGAGCTTTGATTGTGTGGTACAGCGCTCATCTTGACTTTTTTAAACTCCCCCTGCCTCTCCCCCCGCCTTCGATGGGCCCTACATGTATTTCAATGCAGAGTTGATCATGATTTGGTATGATGCAAACATAAGTAGATTAGGGTTATACCTCTCATAATAGTTCTAATAATAGAATGTAATCGAAATAATTACATTTCACTCCCTGTGGGAAAACTGATATGAGATAAATTCTTCTGTTTCAGTTGCTCCAAAATTCCACTAGCGTTCATCCAGATGCAATTGAAAAAACTGTAGATGCCATCATAGAACTGAAAAAGATTAACCCAGCTGTAAACCCACAGTAAGTTTTAAGTATGTAGCATTGGGGGAGGGAATATTTCAGGCTTTGCTTTGAACTTCTTTAAAGTTGATTTTCCCACACATTTCCCAGTACAGTACAGCTTTTGGCAAACATTTTGTGAAAGATAATTCTTGGTCCTGATCCCTCATGAGCACCAATGCCACTATCTTGAATAAATCATTTCTTTACTAAAGCTGCTGGTGGCCACATCTGCATCTTTCCCTTAAGCCAATTCTTTATCCTCCCATCTTACCTTGCTTTCTAATGATCATTTCACATATTATGCTTGAAGTGCACATTCCATTTTTAGTTGTTCAGTTAGAAGCAAAGCAATGCAATAAAAATGCTTTTTTTTTTTGGTCAGACAAAATGTACAGAGTTCTTTTGCCTCCAGAAAAGTCCATGGTGTTTTTTTTACCCACCTCTTAAACAAGAAGGGTGCCAATTAGCTGTGAGGACAAACTCCAAGGAAAGCAGTAAAGATGAATTCAAAGATGGCATGTCCACAAGCCCCATTTCTGTTTTTCTCCCTCCTTACAACCACATGGAAAGTTTCCTTCCTGCTGAAGTAAGTAAGTAAGCTGAAGTAAGCAGGCAGGCAGCATGCATAGAAAGTCAGGTTCCTGAGCAGTATATGTTGCCTCAAAAAATGCTGTTTTTCCTCATGCAGAAGAGAAGGAAATAGGCCACCATTCCATACCAAGGTAATATCAGTCATGCAAGGCCAAATTACTGAGTGTGCCATGCCATTTGGCATATCTTTTCACTCTAGGCTAAGTGTATCTCTGCAGGCCTGCCTTTTACAGATTGTAGGGTACAGAAATCTGATTGCAGAGGTTGAAAAGCTGCGTCGAGAGCCATATGATTCTGAAGAGGTTCTGCATGAAGAAATGCTTCTGAAGGTATGTGCTTGAGCTATGCTTACAAGTGAGCTTTATCTCTTCAGAAGGCCATTAATAAAGCCACACACTCACCGTATTGGTAAAAGGTTTTATGTCAGCTTGAGAGCCAGTTTGGTCTAGTGGTTAAGGCACCAGGTTAGAAACCAGGAGACTGTGAGTTCTAGTCCTGCCTTAGGCATGAAAGCTGGCCGGGTGACTTTGGGCCAGTCATTCTCTTTCAGCCCAACTCACCTCACAGGGTGGTGGTTGTGGGGAAAATAGGAGGAGGAAGGAGTATTAGGTTTGTTCATTGCCTTGAGTTATTTATAAAAATAATAAAGGTGGGATAAAAATCTTTTAAAAAAACGGTTTAGACATCTAGTTCTTCCTAAATTCATAGAGGGATTGGAGATCTTCTAAACTGGAGGGGAGGTTATAACTTTTTGCTTATTTCTTTAGCTTCCAGAGGCTGCAGACAACAATGTGATATTGTTAATATCAGTATAACCAAGATTTGCAATCTAAAGTTATGAGAGATAGGGAAATAAAGGGTAAAATGGGAAAAACCTGACCTTTGGGAGCGTTACTAAACAAAATGGCGTCCTAAGCCAATTGCCAGACATCCATGACGCTGAACATACCACAAAGGGCTGAAAATATTGACCTTACCGACTGGGGGTACACTGAGGCCTGCAAATTGGGCACTGGGACCATGCAGGCTGTGACTTGTCCACCCATGAGCTAATCCAACTTCTTCCCCCCAATGTAGGAACTTTAATGTAGAATGTAGAGTTTAGTGTAGAATGGCTTCCTCTGTTCTCTCAGAGGAGCCCAACTTTTCATAGGAAAGAGACTCTGCAGCTGAACAACTCTCACTGTCAGAAAGTTTCTCCTAAAGGAAGCAACATATAAATTAATTGATTAGTATGAGCCAAATCATAAATCTGCTTTTGCAGAAGAAGACCAATGTTAAAGTCATTGCTCTGGTGCCAATAGGCTTTCAGACCCAATTCAGAGTGCTGATTGTTACCTGTAAAATCCTGTACAATAGAACACCAGGATATATCCAGAACCACCGTGCCAGAATTGACTCTGCCTGACCAGTCCAAACTTCTAGAGATGACCGTCTGTTGGTCCACTTCTTTGGAAGGGCAATAGTCAAGTGGCAGGCCTTTTCATTGGCAACCCACAGTTTGGAACATGTTACTATACAGGAACATTTGGCCCCTCCCTTATTGCATTTCCCAAGGCTGTTAAGAGAGTTTTATTCTAGTGTGTCTTTGGTCTTGAACAACTATGGACAGCCATTGTTATGATATTCTATTTTTGCTGTGTAGTTTTGTCTGTCTTATTCTTACTTTTTTGTACATTACCTAGAATCTCAATTAATTGGGGTGGTTTTCAAAATAAATAAAAGAAGGCATGGAAGATGAAGATGACACAGAAGTTGTCACAATTAGATTACTACAATTCCATTTACATTGAGCTGGCTTGAAGATGACTCAGGAGTTCCCACTGGCACAGATTATGCAGCCAGTCCACTTGTTGCCACAGGCTCCTGGACCCAGTTCAGATGTGGGTGATTAATAGTTTCAACAAAGTTCAAAAGTAAATGAAAACCTTATCAAGTGTTTTTTCGCACCAGTTCTCTGAAACTGAAAATATTATAGCCATTTGCTTGCCTGGTATTCTAGCAAGATTCTGAACCTGGCTGAGGCCTGAATATCCTTTTTTTGAGAAGCAAAGCCTCCAGTGTGACAGGTCCCTATTTTTTTTTTTCCTCCCCTGCTGTGCTCTTGCAGAATTGGTATAAGGGAGAAAAATTCCCCTTTATGGCTAATGGTCTTTGTAGCCATTCTGTGATTTGCAGCTTTGCCTAGAGGTTTGTGCCAAGCTAGAGAAAATAGCTATTGAGGCCTGGTCAGGATTCTTGTACCATTTGTGTATTAGAGCAAATAAGATTTCCCAGGGGCCATATTTGAAATGTTTGCCATGTCTAAGGAGAACTCCTTGCTGATCTTTATTTGACATGTTGCCCCAGGATCCTTCAGTACCATGCATAACAATGAAGGCCAAGCCAATGTGGATGGATTTCGAAAAATATCATTGCACACAAGCCTTGTATTATAATATATCTCTGATTTTTCTTTTACTTCTGGAGCTGTGGAAATGCTTGAAACCTGATTCTCCATTGGAAGCTCGGATTTCCAAGCAATGGTGTGAAATTGGTTTCCAAGGTGATGATCCTAAAACAGATTTTAGAGGAATGGGCCTTCTGGGGTTATATAACTTGCTGTAAGTATATTTTTGTTTCTTTCACATAATGAATTTAAAGGTACAAATTATATTTCTTAAAAAACAAAAAAACACCCCTTATCAAGGAAATTCTTCAAACATCTGGAGAATCTGACCTCAGCTCATTGCAGCTATCTATCCCTGTTGATGATAACTGCTTTAAATCAACATTAACATGTCTACAATGTAGGAAAACAGGGTTTTGCATTTAAATACAACAATTACGAAGTCACCAGTTTTGTAACAGGAGTATCCAATCTCTGTCTTTTCCATCCTCTGGTGCTCTTATATAATGAT